CCCCACCCCCCCGGGACCGTCACCGCCTTCACTTGGCATGTGCCAGAGAAAACGCTTCCAGCTGCCTGTGAACAGCTCGTTTCTGGTGGGAGGCTCCCATGTGGTTGGCAAGTGTTTTCCTTTGGGGGCTTACGGTGCCGTTTTGTGCCACTCGCTCCCTGTGCCTTGCCCGTTCCACCCACGTGAGCCAAACTGGACGGTCCTCCCCATCTGCTGCTCTCCTCTCCTTCACTTGGCATGTGCCAGAGAAAACGCTTCCAGCTGCCTGTGAACAGCTCGTTTCTGGTGGGAGGCTCCCATGTGGTTGGCAAGTGTTTTCCTTTGGGGGCTTACGGTGCCGTTTTGTGCCACTCGCTCCCTGTGCCTTGCCCGTTCCACCCACGTGAGCCAAACTGGACGGTCCTCCCCATCTGCTGCTCTCCTCTCCCACCGCCCCCCTGCATCCCTGCTCCTTCTCCCCAGGAGAGATGCTCAGCAGGAGAGGGGCCCCGGGCAAGGCACACGGGTCGCCAGGCAAAAACAGCCAACTGCCCGTAAATCCCAAGGGAAACATTGCGCGCGTTCAGACTTACAGCTGTCGACCTAGAGTAAGGCTTGTAGTGAGCGGAGGGCGGTTGGCAGAGGCCCCTGGAATAGTCTTTAATTGCACAACCGTAGGGCATTAGGTAGTCCTACGAACAACGAACACAGGTTGAAGAGCAGCCCTCCTGCACCCGCACGCTGTCTGCGCCACGCCGGGACCGAGAACATGCTTTAACACGTTCCATCCTTCTGCTTTAAAACCACGGGCGGGATGGAGAAGCTGCAGACACCCAGGCCACCGTGCGCCGGGCTCCAGCACAGACTAACGCCCAGGGATTTTGCTCAAGCACCTCCTGGTTCATAAACAATCTGCCCCCCGAAGTGGGAGAAGCCCCTGCTGCCCCACAGGCTTACCTGGGAGAAGGCGGGCACGGCCACGCTGTACGGCCTCTGCTTGAAGGTGTTGATGCCTTGTGCTGGGAAGGCTTGGGAGGCCATGCCGTAGTCGGGCGGTGGGATGGCGATGTCGTCTTTGTCCAGCAGGTTGCCAGTGCTGCTGCTCTTCCCTTGCTGCAGGCTGGGCGGGGGGACCCAAAGCAGAGGCGTAAAACAGACGGCGGCAGCACCACCCCACCCCAGGCTGAGACCCCCAGGCTGCGCGTCCACCCATGGTAGGGGACCCCATGGCCAAAGACATGCCCCCCCCGCCCCGAGTCAGCTACCCCCATCCCGTGCTGGGAGCTATTCCTAACGACACGCTTCGCGTCCAGGGAAAGCAGAGTATTCCCATCCCGA